GATTGTTTCCCCCCTATGATTGTTCCCTTATGTTGAGATTAGGGAGCGGGATACATGTTTCTAGTCCTTTTTAAGGCCAGCTCTTCAAAGAAAATTAACCTTTAGCTAAAAACTATTATAAAATTGATTCACTATCTCCAGTTTTTTTAAAAACAACCAGCCATTTGACTGCTTCAATCCTAACCTAGATGCATAAAAAACTGTTGTTTGCAGAACTTGATCACATTTATGGAATTTGAAAAAGTAAAGAAGTTTGGGCGTTCTTTAAGTTATCAAGAAAAACCAATGGGGGGCCAGAAAACAGCCCCCCCCCCCACATTGTGACATGTCAAGATCGTATCTTTGAATGAAATTCCCGAGTTTCCTTTTTGAATTATTTACATTTATGTAAATTTAAATGCAAGACTTAGAAAAAACTAATCAAAGGAAATGATATTTTGAATATGAAAATTTGGATAATTATTTTAAAACAACTTAATTTTTTAAAATCTCAATCTTACAAAAAAATTTGTGTAGCTAAGAGGCCTGTTAAAAAGGGGTCAAATGCCTCTTCTACTTCCGGCAACCTTGGAAATACTAGATCCTCAACATTACCAAAGTAGGTTACTTTTAGCTTAAATTTTACAATCTAGTAAAGGGAAAACATTTTATTGCAAGCATAGTTTAATCAAAATAGCAGGGTAATGTTACATTGTCTATACGCAACATCCCCTACTGAACTTCTGACATAACTTTCCGACCTACTTCAATATCGTACCTTCGCCAGCTGTTTATTTTTGTATTACTTAAGGGTTAAGTTAGGTTTAAACATTTTCTGAGCCAAGTGCTGCGGCTAGGACAGGCTAGGGGGCCGAGCGCCACTGCAAGGACAGGCTAGGGGGCCATATAGCAGCTGTAAAACCACGCGTGCTTGTAGGTCGGATGTGTAATATAGCTGATTTGGCGTAGGTCAGAAGTGGAGTAAAGCGGATTTGCGTAGGTCGAAAAATACACCATCAAATCACAGATAGGACACTATAGATGTCGTCTTTTCAATATTTCGATGAAACTCGTACACAGGGTACAAGTTTCATCAAAATCTTGAAAAGACGACATCTAGTGTCCTATCTGTTATTTAATTAACCTAAGATAGCTGTTTTTAATTTTAAAGATAAGATTTTTCCGTTTTTTTCCTACAGCTCTTGTTGAAAGAAGGGGTTCATGAAAATGAGACACTTGTAATAAATAGTATAGGATTTCCATCGATGATAAAGGAAGGAAATGGCATTAAAGAAAATGTTGTCAGAAAATTGGCCACACTTAAATAACCTAATTTTTAATGAAGAAAAACTAAAAATGTGCAAATTTCCTTTGACTGGTTGTTTGCAAAAAATTTGCAATTTATTTTCGCAAAACTTGTGCAATTTGTTTCCTTATGTCAAAGGCTTTCCAAAAAGCTAAATCTTATCAAAATCTGACAAGTGGAAGTAGGTCAAAACAAAGATTTAGTTTGTTACAGGAAAAAGCAGTCATTCAGGCAGTTTGCCTGAGGACTCAGGCAGTTAGTATTAAAGCCCGGTTTTAAGCCTAAATGGAGGGCTTTGGGTATGTAGGAAAAGTCAGAACATTTCAACAGCCTCAGACCAATACTTTTTGAGTTATGTAAAAAAAACTACAGGGGGGGTCAAATTGGCCCCCCCCCCAGCAGGAATAGGGTTAAGCATGATTGTAGCATGTCTAATTCACAACAGTTCCCTTTTAACATTAGTTTAATGAGAATTGTATGAGATCCCTGTTTAATTCATCAAAAATTTGTTATTTTCAATTGTGATTTCTCTTCAAAAGTGTATCGCACATTCTGAGGGAAAACATTATTATAACTATCTTTGTCTAATCAAGATTGAATGAGATCATTATTCTTCTTACTGTAAACTAATGTTTTTTTTACTAAAAAAACGATTTATTGTATGATCAATTAGTGAGAAAATGAACAAAATAGATGGAAAATTAACTTTGTTAGACGCATGATTTAACTGATATAATACCTGCTACCTTATTGTAGGTTTGATTTAGAACCTTCTATATTTTTGCATAATTGTTTTAGAGTATGACCGTTTAAGAGCTGGTCCCATGATTGCTGGAGACAGTAGATTTCAATATGATGATCATTCTTCTCTTTCATCTAGATCCAGGTTACCATGGTTTACACATTTATATATTTTCTTCAAAATAATTTTTTTGAGTGTCAACACATTAAAGGGGGCCCATTTGCTCAGTTCCAATCCCTCAATTGAAAATAAATTTTTTTAAGTGGCAACTTTATAGCTTAGCTAAACCATGCAAGGTTTCTCATTAATTGTTATTTTAACAAAAATTCAAACAATGTTAAAATGTTTTAGATCCACCTGAATATAATGAATTTAATAAAGTTCGCTCAATTGTATTACAGCTGAATCACATACTCAAGACCTACCCAAACCTAATTTTAGCAATTTCTCAGGATTTCCAGAATACCCAGTTCAAGAATACCCAGTTCAGCTACTAGAAGTATGAGGTTAGTTTTATGCACACAATTCTAATACAAATCAGGATTGATAGTTTTTTCAAATGCAGAGGTAGATTCTTACCCACAAAGATATTATACTTCATGTCATTTTAACGCCTTCCGTACTCAACAAGAGGTATGAAAAAGGATTTCTTTACATTGATTTGAGAATTCTAGAAATATTTTCTTTTCTATAGCTTGCTTGGAACCGGAGATTTGACTGTTTGCCTTGCAAATGTTTGAGAAAAATAGGATTTCAATCAATTAATCAATATTGTTTGAGACGACACGTTTTCAGATTTTAAGTTATCAGATATAATTGGGGAGAATTACCTATGACCACTTAGCAGCACCCATCTTTGTCAGAACCGATGGGATAATAATTTTAACTTAAAATTTGTGGAGCCTGGTGTGAGGCATCATGGATCGAGAAGTAAATAGAACTTAAAATTTCTATATAATCGTCTCTGAAGTCTCTTCCTTTGTGAGTAACCCTGTTCCAAGGAGAAGAGTCTAAAATATGATAATTTTATTTTATAAATGAAACCCAGAAATATCAAATAATTCTAATTGAAAAAGCTGAGATTTTTAACCTTTTATTGAGAAAATAAATTTAATATATAATTTTTTTTCAGGACCTTACGAAGGAGTCAATCATTCTCAGATCTGCAACATCCAAGCCTTCAATATTCACAGGTTTTAAAGGAACTTTTATTGTAACTTCAAATGAAATTTGTTTTATAGAGATTAACCTTGTATTTTGCAGAGAAAACATTGTTACCTTATTCATTCTAGCTTTTAAGGCAACTTATTTATTTGACAGTTTCTTAAAATTTAATTTCAGTCCTAGTTTTTAAACTTTTAATCTGTCTTTTAATATTTTTAGTTGTCTTCCATTTCTGAGTTTAACATTACTAATACAGCACCAAGGAAATCTAAGTAAGTTTATTTAACAATTCAGAAAAACTGTTTATAACAAAAAAAAACATTAAAATCAAATCAAACTAAAATTAACGTCGGATGATAAGTCTAAAATGAGCAAAAAGAATTTAAAACAAAAATCATTAAGATTGCCCTTAGCTTAATCTGATAATATGGGAGCACAAGTTTACAATTTTCTTAATAAAAGAAAATGTCTTTGAAAGTTAAATTAGCCTTTTACCAACAGTACAATTAAAACCTTTATCTGATTAATTATGAGAATGATATTGTTTTATCCGGCCCGAAAAGTGTTTAATTCTGACAGTTTCCTAAGTTGTTTCTAAAAAGCATGTCACTTACATAAACAATAAAATTACGTCTACTAACCATATTGAAAACTTCTTCCAAAACATTGAATATGTGTTTGTGTAGTAAGCCAGCTGTACCTCAAAGTGAGCCAACTCTATCACAGACCAGGAAATCTCTACGCCGAAGTCGGAGTGTTATCACTCACAGAAGTAGCCTTGTCAGGTTTAGCCGGTCAACAGGACCTGAACACAGGTGATCATCAAATTGCTTGGGATTTAGTTCCATGTGGATCCGCAACTTTTTTGCTTCGTCGATTTTGTCCTCAAAATTATTTTATTTTTAAGACTGACAATTTATAGATTGGACGTTTTTAATAGGCTTGACATTTCCATTTATTTGCAGATTGGATATTTATACAGATTGAACATATCCTAAATTGGACATTTTTATATTTTTTAAGACATAGTTAAAGTAGATGTGTTCTGTAAACTCGCTAGAACCAGTCTAATATTGTATATAAGGAAAGATTCGTAGTTTAGCACAGACTTATTACCTTAGTTGAAAGTTTGTTGCAGTTTTAGTAGCTTGTAGTCCTATCTTTTTATTTTTTTTCATGATTCAGCAGAAATACATGTGTAGTTAAACGAGGTTTTCTTTCAGAATTATGCCAATTGTTTGAGTTTTTTGTATGTTAACTGCCTGAATTCTGTAGGACTACTCCATAGAAATCGTACTTGGTTAGTCAGATAGATGTTTATGTCAAGCTAGCGTGATTGGGTGATCGTGAAACCCCTTTTTCCCTTTTATTCCCATTTTTAGCTTTACCTTTAGAGATTTTTAAACATTTTATTCAAACACAAAAATTGTGTGGCTTTAATGAAAATTAGATAGTTAAAACAAACATTTTGGTGTTTCAATGAAAATCTTGGGATCTCCAATGAAAATTTTGGGGTCTCCAATTAAAATCTTACGGTCTCCAATGAAAATCTTGAAGTCTCCAATGGAAATCTTGGGGTCTCCAATAAACATCTTGGAGTCTCCAATGAAAATCTTGGAGTCTCCAATAAAAATCTTGGAGTCTCCAATGAAAATCTTTGGTCTCTCTAAAGGGAATCTTGAGTTTCTCAAATGAAAATCTGGGAGATCTCCAATAAAAATTTTGGAGTCCTCCAATGACAATCTTGGGGGTCTCCAATATAAATCTTGGAGATATTTGATGAAAACCGGGGGTCTCCAATACATTTTATGGGAATCCAATGAAAAATAGCATCAAGCTTAAATTCTTGTAAATGCTTTTAAAGTTGGCCAATTGTAAATGTTAAAAAACTGACCTCTAAAACAATGCTCATCCATAGAAACCCAATTGTACCTGATTTATATTGACCTATGCGACTTACCCTCTGCTAAGCTAATTTAATTTCCAAATATTTACGATATTTTTATCTTTTGATGATTTCGGGTTAGACGAATTTTTTGGAAAAATCAGAAACGTTATTTATTTTGAGCTTTTGACATTCAACAAACGTTTTTAATCCCTACTGCAAAATGATATGTATTGTGATATAGTGTGATATTTTATTTACAACTTGTATGTATTTAGTATTGTATGTATTTAGTCTCCGACAAACCGATAGTGAACAAGCACAGAATTATTTATCCGACAACTTCGCCATCGGCACATAAGGTCAATAAAAATGTTTACTGAGGTACTCGAGAGAAATTTTTTAGAAATTATTTGAGATTTACATTTTTACAGTTAAATTGCTAAGAGCGTAAAATCAATTTTTAAAATACTCCTGGTGATAGCAACAGCAGGTTGTTGAACGGCAAACTGACGTGCAGGCATGCTGAGCCTCAACCTGATTGGCAGGTATGGAGGGTCACAACCTGATGGGCAGGTTTGCAGTGCCAAAACCTGCTAGACAGGTTTGCTGCGCCACAACCTGCTGGGCAGGTTGGCAGGGCAACAACCTGCTGGGCAGGTTTGCAAGGCAACAACCTACTGGGCAGGTTTGCAGGGAAACAACCTACTGGACAGGTTTGCAGGGCAACAACCTGCTGGGCAGGTTTGCAGGGCAACAAACTACTGGGCAGGTTTGCAGGGAAACAAACTCTTAACTTTCCCGTTTTATTGACATAAAAAGTTTATCGAAGATCAGAAGTATATAATCAACATTATAAATACTGCTTGATAAAAAAGGAAAACACTTCTCTGAGTTGAAACAACTCAGAATTCAGATGCACATTTTGAAAAGATAATTAAGATTTTGTCAAGAACTGGGTCAAATTCTGAAAAAAATGTAAGTTTAACATTCTTCTAATGAAGAGAGAGTGTGTTCTACCTCGTGTTAAGTGTTCTACCTCGTGTTCAGTGTTCTACTTCGTGTTCAATGTTCAGCGTTCTACCTCGTGTTCAATGTTCTACCTCGTGTTCAGTATTCTACCTTGTGTTCAGTGTTCTACCTTGTGTTCAGTGTTCTACGGGGTAATTGAAAAC